TTATTTTTAGAATTATTTATGGTTAAAACTTATTTTATTGCTTTAAATAATTTTATTATACGTCTAGAAACTTAAAACATAATAACATTGAAACAACCTTTACGGTAATATAACCTTATTTCAAATTCTTAGCATAGAATAAAGGTCGTAATTCTTAAGTTACGTTACAGCAATTAAGTCATTACCTATGTTATGTTTCACCGCTCTCTAGCGTCGTAAGGATCATAAACTTTGCAATAGTAGACTTAAGTGTTTTATATTGTAGGAAAATGTTGCCAGAATTTATTTTTCATTTTGTAAAATAAAAATTATGATATCAAGTTTATAGAATTATGGATGTATCAAAAGCGATGTATAATATTTGATGCACTACAGATAATATTCAGTTCGAGTGTAGCCTTTGATATAAAAATTTGATGATTAAGAAAACAGTTGCAACGAATGTAGATTTGACGCAGAAGAGGATGCATATGAAGAGTATATAGATCCTCTTTCTGTGTGTCCCCTTCTCTGTCGAGTGAAGGTAGGCAACGCATTGGCAATTGTGGATAACTATGGGTAGAGGTCGCTTCGCCATTTTGACAATTCAGAGAGCCGCTTGTTGGTTTGCCATCTATTGATATAAAAATGAGTAGTAACCTATGTCATAGAAAAGGGATATCTTTTTGAAAAAAGAGTCTTATTAAATAGAGTACTTTCTTGTATATGCCTGTTTCTTTTAGAAAATATCTCATATTATTTATGTGTAGCTGCCTTAAGTAGGAAGCTGCATATACAACTTTTAGCCGTGTATTCAAAATATAACTTGTAAATTCTTCGAACCTTCTGGGTTCAAAGCTTGCTTACTTAATCTTAACCAATACTTAAAAATATAACATTATGTTTTTAATGTAAAAGTTGAAAGCAACATGGTAAATAGGACAGTTCCATGCAAATATACATTTAAAATTCTTGCAAGGAAATGCAATTTTAACGCTGTTCAATGAGATTTCTTTTTAAGTTAACTCAAAGCGTCAACAAGTTTTGCCATCTCGATTGCCTTTCTGCATGATAAGGTACTATTGCATTTATAAAAGAAATAAATGGCATTTCCGTTTCTTTTATAAAAATAAGTTTATTTTATTAAAATTATATTTTTTTATTCTTCTAATTTTAAGGGTCTACTCTATTTGATTTTTTTCAATTTGAATTGACTACTTGCTTATGTAAAATTAGGTTAATTAACAAATATTATAATTTAATATGCGTAATAATCATATTATAGCATATTTTATTTCCTTCTTAAGTTTATCAATTTATTCAAAAAATTAAATAAATGGATCACAATCGCTTTGAAAAGTTCAATTCAATTCAATCACAATAGCAGAAACATAAGCGTCATCATTCTTGCAGTTTGACGTTGAAATATTGCTCGCAATGTTTCATATAAATTTAGAAAAGGTTATTTTCTGTTTCAACAAGTACATACAACAATTTAAAAAGTAAAAATGAAGTAATTGTTGTCTTATGTTCCATTTATTCTTAAGAACGTTGTACATTACGATGAAAATCTTGTAGTATTATCTTTAAATAATACAAAATCTGGATGACCATTAAATTATGTTTTTTGGAAATTATATTTAAGCACGAATTACTAATAAAATGATGAATTATAAATAATATTTTTCGATCTTACCAATAGAAAAAGTTAAGTTTATGTTTAAGTTGATTATCGATAAAACACAAATAAAATGACATTTTCCAAAAAATGATTCCTAGATAGATCGATTTATCGCCCCCGAAGCCCCCTATATATTAAATTTTATGAAAATCGTTGGAGCCGATTCCGAAATTCCAATTATATAAACAAGAATTGCTCATTTAAAGATATAAGATAATGTATCGTATATATTCTTGTTATCGTGAAATATTGAAATTTACGGGCAACGATAGGCCCAAACAGGTAATAACCAAAAAAATATTACGTACGTGGTGGATGAAGATGGCACCGCACGAGTCACTACAAATAAATATTTCTTCTAAATGTATTCTAACTTGACCATTTTAGTATCCGTTTCCACTGGCATAATACTTTGTTGTAAAAAATTCCACTGTCACATTCTCCTTGAGACAATCGAGATAGTATATTTGTAATGTAAATTAATACATAATAATTGGTCTGATTGATTTTATGGTTTTGATAAAGAAATTGGGTTCGGTATGTAAGAGTAAATAAAACCACTTTTAATTTTATATATGTTTTACTAAATGCATATTTTGCTAGAGTTTTATTTACGATTATATCACAGTCATCACTTTAGTAAGTGCGTTATATATTATTAAATATATGTATAAGTATGTACCCGCATTTCTATTATATATTTGTAAGTATAAATCGAATAGGTAATAAGTTATTACAATATCTAGGTACTAATTAATTATACGAATGCATTTCTACGTAATCTTATGAATAATAATAAGAGCATATCTTAATGTGACTAAGTGATTTGGTGCATTAAATGCTTTCTTGGTGTCTCTAAAATGAGTGGAATCTAAATTTATACGAGAAAGAGTATTTAAAACTATTATACAATACAAAAATTATCTTGCAATTATATATCATAAGGGACAATAAAATGATTTACCAAATAAAGAATAAAACATAAGTTATAGAAGAAATTATTGACCTCAGAAATAAACCGGATTATTTTATAAATTATTCAATTTAAAAACTAAATTTAACTCAGTCGATTTAATCGAATATTATATTTTATTACCAGATAAATATATTTTTTTTCGCCTAATAAGTCTTAAACTTATGACTACTATGGGCATTATTGTAATTGACTAGATTATGCAAGCTAAGACGACTTTCTAGGCCATCGTAGAGCCCGTAATTATTGGGCAAGTCTAATATAAACGTAATGATTTCTTACATACAAATACGTCTACGCTACTAGTGATAATTGTGACATGAATTGATGGGATACATCTATATTGAAGTGTATTAGTTGAAGCTAAATTGGCTTATTGAAAGTTTACATACAGAATTAGGATGTTTCCCGTTATCCAACCCATCGGTCCAACAGGAAACATCCCAGAATTATAACGTTGATTTTTTTGGAAGACAAGATAATATTATAAAGATTGATTTATACAAATAGATAAAAGCATTTTAAGTTAAAAAATATATAAGTTGATTTCTAAGAAAAATAAAGATTCTTTTAAGTCGGTTTCTAAAATGCTATCTCTGTAATATGCCTCGACAATGCACTTCTATTCAATCAGATCGTCTTTATTCGTTTTCCGAGAAGCTTTTCAGATTTTTTAATGTCTTTTTTTCGTATTACGTTGTATAACCACTTTAATTTCTATGTCGTGCAAAAAATATTAAAACATTATTATTACGTACTACTTAAAAGCAATTGATCCCGTTCCAGGCTATCTTTTGACATATCAAAATCAATTTATACATACCTTAATTATAATAACGAATAGTAATTACATAAACTATATACTTTAGTGGTTACAAACAGAATTAATTATTTTTCACGTTCGATTTTGGCTTGACATTTACATCTTCAATGAGTTTATTGGACACTCTAATGGACCCCATTTTGTCTACACTTTACACTCATCTAACACTTTCGAGTCTTTTATAATATATTTTATGAACACTTTTCACAATATACATTTCATTTTTGAGTATTGCACATAACACTTGAGCAACATCTGTCTTCCTTATTCGTATATTTGGTGTTCATTGGGTGATATTTGTCACCCTCAAAGATAGTTAGGTCGTGACATACAGCATAGAACACCCATTCCTTTGTAAAGTGATCCCCGTCGCTTATTCTTCCATAAGCCGTTCATGTCGTCGCCTTTCAGCGCTACATTTGTTTCTGCAAATTAATATAACAGCTACAAAAATAAAACACTAAATTTTTTTACATGTGAAAAAAAAATGATCGAGATTAGTTCATTGGCATCTTCGAAACAAACTAAATATAACCATTCATTTTTTTATGTTAAAATCTGTCCGTGTCATTATTTGGGTAATACTGTATTTTCTAATTCATATTATCATTATCATCATCATCATCAACTCAGTATACGTCCCCACTGAGGGGCTCGGAGCCTACCCTAAGTTAAGGTTGATTAGGCCATAGTCAACCACGCTGGCGAAGTGATTTTAAATATTATACATGAGATTATACAGAAAATGCAGGACGTAAATGTATAGTTAGATACCAATATAACAAATAATTTCTTCACTTCATTTATACTAACCAATGTATTTACATAAGCATATTTACCCTAATTTGGCCTAACCACCCTTAACTTAGGGTAGGCTCCGAGCCCCTCGGTGGGGAGGTATAGTGAGATGATGATGATGATTTAAATATAAGAATCGGAATCGTACCTTCACTGTTATTACTTTCTTAGTGTTATGTGAGTGAACCCATGTCACTGTGATGTACATACGACATGAGAATAAATAAATAATACTTTTTTAAAAGTAGAAATGTTAAAAAGTTAACTAAATAGATGAAAAAATGGTGCGTATTTATTTATTCATTTAATATTTTCAATCGTAATGTACAAAAATGTATGTACATGTACCGATATTATTTTTGATATAGATTGTTGGATTTCATTTCTGTTATATTTTCTCTTTGTTCCCCTTTTGTAGAAGTAAAACGTAAGGGAAACAAATTCACCAGTAACGTTAAATTCTAATGTGCCGCGAAATACCAAATCTTTTTATGTAAATGCGGCAGAATGTGAGATGGGAAGGAAAATTATTCATAGAACATACCTAAATGGTTGAGGTTTTCATGTTGCGGCAGGTATTCTTGAATATCATTTACTATCCTGTTAATATCCTGTGTATCTTTGGCAATACTGCACAGTTCTTCCTGATTGAAGTCAGGAGTGATTTGTTTGCACAGGAGTATTTGACTTATCACGTTCCCGAAGTTCGATGGGCCGGCACGATTCTCTGTATAGAGTAAACAAGGTAAAGAAACCAATTTTTTTATTTGTTACTGTAAGGAAAATGTTTTCTTTTGTGCCAATATTTTTGATTTGGTCTCTGACCGTGATATTTCATACCTATTTTGTTATCAAATCAAGTGTCACATTGATTAGTGAAGGGACATAAACATTGACATTTTAATAAGACTAGTGTTGCGCCGATACACCGGCACAGTGTCGGATTTTCTTCCTAACATTATGAAGTTTTGTTTTAGTAAACATTTGCAAACAAAGAACTCGCCTTGTGAAACCATAAGTTATTCTACTATTACTACAAATATCAAATACAAACCTAATGATTAATCCAGTAACTAAAATATATTAACATTAAAATTCCTTATTAAGGTAGTTACCGTAATATGAGGTCATATCCATAGGTACGAGTTGCACAAGGCGGTGACACTTGGCGAGCTCGCGTAGCAGCAGTTGCGACATGAAGTATAATAATACTAGTTGAGGCTGCTCCGCACATCCCTCGCTTGTAGTCCTGTGTAAGAGAACACCTTAAGGGTAATTTCCACTAAGCGGCTAGGTACAGCAGTGGGCGTCAATTTGTATAGAAATTGTGACCGCACCGGTACTTTTAGTTGCTGTTTTGCGTGAATTACTCGCGGTAATGAGGGCTGTTTGTTGGTGAAAAACTTTCAAAAATTGGTTCGGTAGTTTATGAGCCAAGTACATTGACACAGACAACCAAATCTTTTTTCTTCGTCGTGTTGGTAAGATATGAGTTGTGGTGATCCTTAGGAAAAGTCTAGTTGATGTTCTGATGAATGATATAAGTATAAATTATGATATAAGTAAAAACACACAGAACATCACGCGAAAAGCGTAACTGTCTTTAGCGAAAAAAATATTTTATTTATCATTTATTTTATTTATTCGACTGAAAATAACTCTTGGAAATATATAAATAACTTATTTTTTTATTAAATTGTAAAAAAGAATTTATCTTTAAATAATTTTGCGTACGCAATTTTAAAACAATTTAATTTATCTCACGCCCCTATCCAATTCCAGTAAATACCAGTTCAGATCGCGGCCAGGGATATTCTATGATGAGGTCTTTATTTAATGTACGAGATAAATCCCTTGCTATTTTAATTCAGTAATTTTATTTTATACAAGGATTATAGCAGCCTATTTTGAATAAATTAATAGGATACTAAGCCTAGCTAGATGATTCTGTTCGCGTTTGACCTTATCTTAAGGACAAAAGGATAAGAATTTTATGATTATATTTTATATTTTAACTTGACACAACACTCACAATACCCAATATTTGTTTAACATTTCAATACATATTCAAAATAAATGTTGACCCGCATTAAATTCTTGTCGGGACAAGTAATATGTTTTTGAGTGTCATTACATTTTTTTAGCCTCTACTAATTGTTAACGGAAAACCTTGTAACTTGAAGGCGTTACACATAACCCATAATAGATTATTTATATAGCATTTTTAACTTTTACACCTATAAGTAGTCATCATCATCAACCTGCCCTTATCCCTATCGAGGGTCGGGAAAGTACTCCTCCATCCTACTCCATACATCTCTATCAGCCGTCATATCCGAGTCTTCCCCCTTCGTACGCATATCCTCTTTCACACAGCCATACTTTTTTTGATCTTCCTCTACCTTTGTAGCCATCCACATTCAATCTCATTACTTTTTTGCATACATTATCATCCCTCCGCATAACATGTCCAAACCACGCTAATCTTTTACTCCTCAATTGATCACTTGCGCTACTTTCAAACTTCCTCTAATATACACAACACAACATTTAAATTACATCTATCAATAGTATATAACATTAAGCTGAGTATTGACGGTTATTACGATGTGTACCTCGTAACGTCGGTGAGTCGCCTAAGATTCAATTATTTGGTTGCATGTACTATGAAATGAGATGAAGGAATTTTATCATATAATTGAAGGAACAGCCATTAACGGCTGTTCAATATTCTCTTGTCGTACATTAACCCCTCACCAGTCATCCTTCATACCCTTTTCATCTGCGCCCTGATTATTCATCGGGGACAGATGTACGGAACGGTTATCGATTGGGATAACCTTTTTAAAATGCCAATATCTTTATGAGTTTAAAATTAAAATTTCATTAATCTTATTTAAAACTTTTTTTTAAATTACGTTTTTTAAAAGACAGTAATAAAAAATTATATTTTTATTAAACTATTTTATGTTCATTTTTTTACGGTATAAAAATGTAGTGTGTTATTTAAGTAGATGTTGGGAGCATTAATCTAATCCTATACACGTATCAGCTGACCACAGGCGACTATCAATTTATTATTCAGCAAACAAATTTCTATATTATTGTACCCTTGATACTACTAAATTTATATTTAATTAGACATAAATTACCGGCGTTACCTAATGTAGTCAAATAATTTGACCAAACTAGATAAAATTAATGACATACTATAATACAGTTTGCAATTTTCTGAACATTATTAGTACTTGCACAATGATATAGATTACAATCTTTATTTTTCGTGACCTTGAAAATATATCTACAGCACAACGAATATGATAGCCGTGAAATTAGGTGCATTATCACATTTTGAATCTGATTTTGGCATTAAGTTCAAGATTGAATACATACTTTTTGCATGTAGGTAAAACGAGCTGGCTGGTTTGCTTGGTGGCTTCAACGCAGGCGCGACGCAGTCTGCGCACGCGTTCCCGCAACTCGGGACAGTCAGGGGGCTGACCAATGTGGATGAGAAGGTCGCGGAACAGCGCCAGCTGTACGTTGATCTCAGTTATCAACTGGAGACAAAGAAAAAGAACAAGTGTAAATACAAAGACCGCTAATTTTGAATATATTATTAAGTTTTTTTTAATTAAAAGGAAAAAAGGAGCAAGCAGCTGCCTGAATCAGCCAAAATGTTGAAGTGATCGCTGCCCATAGATAACCGCAATTGCAACTACAATAATTCGACGGAGGAGGAGATGCACACATAGATAGTATTTCCCTTTCCTATTCGACCATCCCAGTTCCATCCTTCCCTCATAAGAATACATTGGGAAGGGAAGAGTATGGTTCAAGTATTTTTAGGGTTCCGTATCTCGAAAGTTTCACATTGACGACCGATCGTCTGTCTGTCCGTGTCAAGACCCTTTTTTGAAACTTTTAAAAACATGAAAAAGGCACTTTGTTTTCTTACAATGTAGCGTTACTTTGTAGAATAGAGATTAAATTGTGAACGGGTTGATACAAGCGACTTAACCCTTAAGAACGTAATTACGACGAGCAATATGAGGAAACGACCATTGTAGAATCAGGTCACGAATGTAACGAAAAAAAAACTAGAGAACGTGTATGCAGAAATAATTGGACGTAGGTAGTTTTAATTATTGAAATATGTTGTTTGTACTTATTTGAACATAAAAATTAAATAGGTCATTTGAAAAAGATATTTATGTAAATACATGTAACTACCTGTCGCTCGTGACTCCGCCCGTGCGGTATAAAAAAAAAATTAATGAGTGGCCTATGTTTTCTTCCAGACTATGTTCTATATTTATGCCAAATTTCATCAAAATTGGTTGAAACGTTCCGGAGATATCAACATCCATACATCCATACATTCGCATTTATAATATTAGTATGATTGTTTATACTAATAATATTATTTTATTTAATTTGGACATTTATGAATACAAGTAGATTCATACAGTCAACTTAATAGTGAATTTCCTGGACGCTACTGCGAGGAGGAAATAGGCTTTTAAATGAACCGTTTACTCTACGTAAATTCAATTTTAAATTTTAACTTGAAGGATAAATTCAATCGTTAACAGTGTAATAGGTTATGGTATTACGGATCTAAAAGATTTTATTAAAACATAAGAATTAAAATAACATTTTAAAATATCATTAATAATTGTACGCCAGAAACTCACTGAGTATATTTTTAACACATTAACAAAGCGAGTTATTTAAATGTAGGACAAAGCTATTTGCTTAAATTATTGATCCTTAAGCTACGATTTAGTTTTTCACTAAACAGGTATTAACACGCAACCTAAACTTTGTAGCTCTAATTTGCTCTGAGTTCAATTGCTTTGTAGTAGTCCATAATTGAAAATCTTACTAATACATTAATGTGAATGTTTAGATGGATGGATGTATGGTTGGATGGATGGTTGAAGGTATCTCAGGAACGGCTTAATGGATCTCTATGAAATTTGGTATACATTTAGAACATAATCTGGAACAACACATAGGTTACGACTTATGTTTTTCTTTAATTCCCCGCGGACGAAGTCGCGGGCGACAGCTAGTTATATAATAAACATCTTAAAGTAAATGAAATATTAAAAACGAAAAACCAATAAACACTTACGCTATACATATATGAAGTATGCGCGTAAAAATATTATAACAATAACGAATAGGAATTAATTATAATCCTCGAAACAAAAGTTCAGAATAAATTAACAGTCGCTTACAAAGCGCTGAAGTAGCAAAAGTTTGCTTTTTTCGAATAAATTTACAAAAGTAGTGAAAATGTTTCAACCGAAATTTGAATTTGTGCCAAAGTGTGTGTATATTTAAGGTCAATTTTTATTTTCATATATGTGAATAAAATTCACAATTTATTCATAAACTATACAGTAATTTTCATAAAAGTAACACTTTTATTACTCAATTCACTATTATATAAAAGAAGCAAATGTATAAAAGCTTTTTATTGTTGTTTATCATTTGCTAAAACTTTTATTGGGTGTACGATTGGTTTTAATAAAAGATTTATCTAGTTATAAAATACAAAAATCGTATTTTTTTATTTAATCTATTCATATTAAAAACGTATACATAACTTGTGTTAAAAAACATAACTATTATTTAAGACCTACATTTCTTTCTCGTTACACGACGGAGACGAGTAATGGGAACATTAAGCATTCTATTAGACAGCCAGTGAATAGGTGTACGATGTAAAGGTTAGTTTTAATGAAGCCCCGGAGCGTACGAGGGCTACGATAATAGATTAATTGCTCTAACGTAAATAAAGTAGAAGCTTTCTCTTTGTTTCATTGGAACTTTCCTATTTACGCATACGTTAGCTTCGTACATAGTTTAATGACCTAAGTTAACTATTTTTATTTTGTTGGTTTCGCTGAAAAGAGATATCAAATAAGTATTGCTTATTTAATTTTCTTATAGAGGTTGTATTTTATCGCTTCTGTAAAACATTTATAAAGCCTATCATTTATTTTTTTTTCTAAAATTATCGGTTCAAAATAAAGTGTTAAAGAATCTTCTGTGTTTCTTATAGCTTGCCTTGGCACCTTTTTGAACACCAACAAGGGCAGGCGAATTGGCCATGGTAACAAATTCCTTTGTGGAAGGAAAAGTTATCAAATTTATTTTTATACCAATTAGGAAGCAAGAAGGCAAGCATAGTACCTGCTGTTAACATAATATGTAACAGAGTGATTGCCTTTGTAGAAAAGTGGTATAAAATTTTGTTTACTTACCGAATTTGCGGTAGGTTCGTGTGATGGATGTTCATGGTGGTAAGTGGATAGATGACGTATCGTTCCCGCCATTACGTTACGCTGTTGTCGTCATCACGTGTTATATCCTTTGAAAGTAAAGTTTGACGATAGTTCTTCCATCATTTAATTAATGATTGTAGTACGAAAATAATTTATAATTCACTTTCAATGAATTGTTAGCTATAAGGAAGAAGTGGTAGGTTTGATGAATATTTTTTAACCATTTAATGTTTTTATATAGATCTTTTTATATTTATTTTTGAAATTCCGCAATTTTTGTGTGATTGAAAATCAATTTCTTAAATTGAAAGGTAAGCAAGCGAAATAGACATGTTTCAAATATCAGCCAATATTGTGTCAAGTTTGGTTTGATGACGGTCTGACGATCCGGAAAACAAACTATATCTATCGAATATTACATTTTTTTATAACAGAAGGGGGTAAACAAGCAGCGGGAACACCGAGGCGCTTAACGACGCCCATGGACATCAGCAATACCAGAGGAACAGCAGAAGCGTTACCGGTCTTTGAGATGGTTTTATTTCATTATCATATTATGTATTATATAAACACTCTTGAATATTAATTTATAGACATAAAATAAGTGAAAATAAACGGCTGCATTGTACAATATGCCTGCTATAATCATTATAACCAATTTTAATATTCCTCTTGAAAGTTCCTAACGAATTTCCTCTTCTGTTAATAATAGCTTCTCGTTCGCATTTCATTATTTTACTAAGCAATATTTTAGTGAATAGAGGAAGATTCATATTTCAATATGTCCATTATGTGCGTGTACGTTTATTTAGGGCAGAAGATTGTTAGGAAAAATGGCGAACACATTACGTGAAAATCTATAGGGTCTCGCAAAATGTCACATTTCCATAAGTAAGACACTTGAACAAATGAAGGCTAGAATTATTTGTATGTATCTAAAAATATAAATAAAAGACATAAGAAATAATCTAGATAATGTTCCACCTGATCTCTTATAGATATCTGCATTTATTTTAAACAAGAAAACAAGATGTACGATGTTTGTTCCCTCGAGGATTAAGGCGGAATGTAACGACTACAGTAAGATGTTCTTCTGTTTCAATATTCTTTACGTTCTCTTTTCTCATTCATTTCTCACATTGAGTTGTAAATCTTCATGTTTACGTATTGATTTAACTAGAAACTCATTGTGGTTGTATCAGTGAATATTTTTTGGAGAAGTAAATTTATTTCATTTACTTATTCATATAGAATTATCTATCTAACTAGTTATTAAACTAGTAGACGACTTTCATTAAAAAGTAGTAAGTATTTTTTTTATCATTGTAATATTATATTTCAAATTTTACTATTTTAGACAGGCGTTATATGCTAAGAAATACATCTATGTATCCAAACGTTCTCTTTATAATATTATTTACTCATTACTTATACGAAGTTTACGTCTTCAAAGGTTTGTTATTAAATGTTACATAAAGTAAACGTACTTTATTTAAAATAATGTGAGGGTTTGTTTCTTTGTAACGTGATATCGGATAAATTCTCGATTTTCCATCACGTCGCCAGTACAAATTGGGTACACATAAGGATATTAATTTGTTTCGATGCTTTGATGTTGGATTTTGAAAGGAAATTTGAGGAGAGTAGTATTATTCAAATATTGAATTTGTTTATACGAGTATGTTAATGTTTTATGATTTATTTTGACAGAACTGACTACCATACTATATTCACAAATTCCGGTTTAATTAAAATATTTGAGATATTGTGAGGTTAAGTAAAACAAATATAAGTAATTATGTTAATGACATAGTAAACGTAACTTGAAACTGTTAAATGGTGTACATAATAAAGTAAGTTTAGTTGCAAATAAAGGTAATAAGCAAGTAGAAATAGAATTTAGTAAAAACTAAAATATTGACAATGTGTGCATGGAAACTTTTGAGTAATTTATTTTTCTTTACAAACTTTTAAACTCGTTCATAAGTTTCTCTTGCAGTTAAAGTAATGTTTTGAAACTGGCTTATAAGGTACTTATAATTTCTCATGAATAAATTTTAGCAACCAAGTGGTAGCATTTTAAAATCCTGTAGGTCAAATTTAATTAAGCTGAAACTTCATCATGTTTTTTTTTATAAATTTCTTTCCCTACTTTACATTTAAATATTACTTGTGTTCGTAATTTATAAAAGTTAAAAGTATTTATCTTGTTTTTTTTTTAATGATACACGACACACAAATTTTGTTTACATTTTAAACAT